AAAAGAAGATCTTTATTTATGTTTCTCTTTTCTTTTCTTTTTTAACCCTTTATCATTGTTCCTTGCATCATAAAGTGGGCAGGGATATTTTCATTTATGTGAGAAGATGTAGTATTGGAAGTTAGTAATGTTGCTATCTTGGCTTTTGGTTTTATTTGTTTACATGATCTTTTTTAGAAGCAATAAAGGATTTGGAGACAAAGTGATAGCACCCATAATAGAACAAGAAATCAAGATTAAAAAAGAAGAAGAATTTGATTCGGAATCAATGCGATTACGAATGCTAATGCACTTTATTCAATTTGGGAATTTGTGAGTTACAAAAAAAGAGACCCTAATTGATTCTCATGAACCAATCCCTTTCCAAGAGTATAATTCTCCAACCCCTTCCTACTATTACCCTTTTCCTATTTATACAATTCCCTCCCTAAGGAGGGTAGTTATAGCAGTTGGATTTGCTGCTACCACGTGGATAGATCCAGTAGATTCAATGGCTTTAGTGTCACGCGGGACAGTGCCATGCAAGCCAGTTCTCCTGCTACCACGTGGATGCCTCCTCCTATACACTCTGATGATGGGTGGTCGCTTAACCCTATCAATATTCCCTCCCAGAAGAGCCACCTTGTCCTCAAGGGGAAACTGAGGAAAAACCTCCTGAATTTGAGGCGCCGATTCCCACGAATTATCACACGCAAGCAAATTATCTCACTGCACCAACACCTCCAGATTTCCACCGTTGTCCTCCCTATGCTGCAGAATCTTAGTCAGATATACCTTTAACTCGAACTCAGCCAGATATACCTTTAGAGCCTTCTTTAACAATGACACATGATATACCGGATGAATTCTAGCATGACTCAGAAGTTCCAACCTGTATGCAACCGGACTAATCTTCTCAAATATCTGATATGGCCCATAGAACCCAGCCGACAGCTTGGCCGATGGTCTTGTCGCTGACGTTCTCAACTTGTACAGATGAAGTTTTAAAAACACCCACTTTCCCACTTCAAATTCCACCACTCGTCTAAGCTTACTTTCATGGGCCATCATCAAATCTTGCGCCCTCAACAAGTTCTGTTGTAACTACTAGATAACCAGATCTCGAGACATTAGGAGTTGATTCACCTTTTATACTTTAGAAGTAAAAGTACAGCCTTTAATCAGAATTGGAGGATCACGACCGCATAAAGCTTTGAAAGGCGTCATGCCCGCTGAGACGTTGTAAGTGGTGTTGAACTAGAATTCTGTCCACGAAAACCAATCCACTCATCTCCTTGGCTTAGGCCCTACGAAACACCAGAGGTAGGTCTCTAAAGTGCGATTGACCACCTCAGTCTACCCATCCATTTGAGGATGGTAAATTGTGCTGTACTTCAGCTTAGTCCAAGCCAGCCTGAAAAGCTCTTGCCAAAACTACTCAAAAAAATCGGATCCCGATCCAAAACTATAGAAGACGGGAACACATGAAGTCTCACTACCTCCTTCACAAAAACGACTGCCACATCCTTAGCCGTGAATGGATGACTAAGGGGATAAAAGTGGGCATACTTAGTGAGTCAATCAACCACCATAAAAATCGTATTCTTGCCATTGGACTAGGGCAACCCATAAATAAAATCCATAGAAATGCCTTTCCATACCTGCGTAGGGATCGACAATGGCTGCAAGACTCCCTCTAGTGCAAGAGTAGAATATTTATGGTGTTGGCACACATCACACGCCTCCACATACTACTTTACATAACCCTGCATGCTCTCCCAGTAGAAAAAACTAGAAACCCTTTTGTAAGTTCGGTAAAACCCTGAATGCCTATCGGACACATTGTCATTACATTCATCTAAAATCAAGGGCAGCTTATTGGAAGTCTTCCACAATAACAACCTTCCCTTGTAAAGTAACCTTCCATATTGGAATTGGAAAATTGGGTGTGAATTTGGATTCTCCGCAAGATCTTGAATCAACCTTTTCCATTTAGAATCACGTGCGACCTCTTCAAACCATTCCTCCTCATCTGCTAAATTGGTCAGTGAAACTGCGGCATATAAGGCTTTTCTGGATAAAGTGTTGCCACTAAATTTTTCTTGCCAGGCTTGAACTGGATTTTGAAATGCAAGCTAATTTGTTATACCGCCCACTTGAATTGCTCCTCACTGAATAGTCTTTGCTCACTAAGGAATTTTAAACTCCTTTGGTCGGTCTTGATCATGAAGTGTCTACCCATCAAATAATGTTTTCACTTGTGTACCACTTGAACCACAACTATCAATTCTCTCTTGTACACAAACTTCAATTGGGACCTAGCCGAAAGACCTTTACTCCAAAAAGCTAAAGGTCAGCCCTCTTGCATCAAGAACGCTCCTTTTCTTTTACTGGAAGCATCAGTTTCCACCACAAAATTCTTCAAAAATTCGGGTACAATCAACATTGTCAAACTAATCATAACCGATTTCAAAGTTTGAAAGGTGTAGCGGCGGTATCTGTCCACAAAAAATTATCGTTC